AAGGCCAGATTGGACAGAGCCTTGGGTGAGGTGGTTTAGTGGGAGGTCCCTGCCCATGTCAGAGGGGCTGGAACTTGATGATCTTAAGGTCCTTTCCAACCCTAACTATTCTATGATTCTATGATAACACTGAACTAGGAACTTTATTAGGAGCTGTTAAATTAAATCCTAAGTCCTTTTACCTTCCTTTTTTACTTTCTTCACATTCCTTCTACAATCTTTATCGGCTTCAAGAAACGTTAATTAGAATGATGAAGTCCTTTGTATGCAATGAAAGCAGGCTCTCTCGGCTTTGGCTATAATTTGTAGTTTAGCACCACCTTCCTAGACACCAAAGAATTACAGCTTTGCTCTGGCAAATCTTTCAGCTTGAAACCTTCCTACAAAAACGGAAGTACAAAGAAGGATCGGGTTTTTTCTCAATCTGTTTCAATTACTAGACATTTTTAATAATAAGATTGAGTTCTTAGTCCTCAGCATTTTTTTGGAGATCATCAGTTTTTAGAAAGTATCCCACAGACTGGTGTTCCCTATAGCACCTCAGGTACGGCTCTGTAGCTGTGAATCAGTTGTCACAGTTTCAGGGCCCATCATTTATGTTTCCAAGTCATGAAAACTGAACTGTAATTATAGATCATGCTGAATATAGCATATTTTAGTATTAAAAAACGAGCTTGTGAGTGTCTGATCTGAACATGATATATTGACTTAACATTGTAAGCAAAAATTTCAACCTATTTTCTATGCTTCATCATAAATAACTGTTAAGAAAAGAGTTTCAATGATTTCTTGAAAAACAGGATTGACAGAACAAATAAAATTGTGGTTGGCAGCCTCATGGTTCACAATATAAACACTTTCTTCCATAATCCACGGAGATGATAAGGAAAACATTAAAGATGACAGACGTAGGGTAACTAACCTGCATCAGCATCAAACACAAGCCCATACCTCAACGAATATTGAAGCAAACCATAAAGGGTTTTTTTAATGCATTTTTCAGTTTTCCTTTTCTGCATGCTCCCCAGCATGCCCTCGCTTGAATGAGGCATGTCCAGGATCAGCTAACCAAGAATAAGCTTAATCACAAAATTACCCTACAGTGACCCTCTGCAAAACCTCCTTCTAGGTTGAGCTTATCTTGTAACCCAGAAGCTGCATGCAACCCCCATGTCATGTTCTGTTTTACAAAAGTCTCACATAATTGATACTTCAAAATACCCCAGGGGTCTGTGTACTTTTGCTTGGCTTGGTGCTTCCCACCACCACCACAGGAGGTGTTCCCTAAGATGCGGTCACAGAATTGTGGGTGACATGTTGTGTCCATCCTGCCTGTGTTCCTCAGGACAGCCCTGTGGCTAACTCGCTCACTGCCGTGTTCCATGCTGAAGCTGCATCCCCTCTTAAGTCTTTGCTGACATGGGGGTGCAGCAATCTCCCTGGTTGTAAAATTATTCTTCATCTAGAAAATGCCTTTAATATGGAGGAAGCCTCTTGTCTCTTAGTTTCTTTGCCTGTGCAAATACTGCAGCATAATCTGACTGTAAATGTAAAGCAACCCCTCATTTTTGTCTCTTTAGGGAAGAAACAAAGCTATTGCATGTTAAGCAACCATCACACTTTCCCTGATAGATCTCCACCCTTCTATTACATATTTAATTTCTCATAAACAGAACCCTAGTGGCAACCGACAGTGGGTTTAGTTATGGCAGTGAACTAAAAGAACAGACACAGTTACATCTGCTGACTGGGCAACAGCACAGAGAGAAAAGATGATGATAAGAGAGGAGCTGTAGGTGTCAGCCTTTAAAATCTTCCCTGAATTCCACATGTGAATCAGGTATGGTTTCTGGAAGCAGCCTCAAGAAAATGCATGTGAGTGAGTCTTTTCATGTAGATTAGTTTGATTTCTTTACACTTTTGTGTGGATATTCTCATTAAGAATTAAAAAGCCTAAAGTGACCTTTATTTAATTTATTTAATTTCCAAGGAGAACTAAAGCAGATTGCATTAAGGACACTAATTCTGGCTAAGAGTGTCCACATATTATTGTATAATGCAGTTTAGTTCTTGACTTTTCAATTCACATCTTTAGCTTGGACTGCATTTCAATGAGGCCCTGAGAAGCAAACACAAAGTGCATTACTGTTTTAAGAACGTCATGATAGTGTGCAATGCTTAACAGATTTATATTGTTTTCTTGTCCCACTTAGTGGAGCATATAAATATTTCCATAGACATTGCTACTCATTAGAGGCAACTGCATAAACAGATGCGCATGCTTACATGGCACTTACTTTTGATGCTTCTCTTAAAATTTGAATTTGGCTTTAATCACACCTAGAGTTTGCATAGAAAATATATCAGAGACTTCTTTCAACTGTATATGACATTTACCCTTGCAGGAATGACTGGTTTTCATACACACATGCCCAGTGAAAACAGATTATATTAGCAAGGAAATTATTTTTTAATGTCTGCACTTCCACTGGCTCTGCAGCCCTTCTTAGACACTGTTATCTCTAAAACCCCTCTCAGATTCCTCAGTATCAGACCAGTCACACTGTGGGACAGGTAGCTCAGTTGGGAAAGCCATGGTAAAGTCTCAAGCATCATGTCATTTTCCAGTCATAATGTTTATATCCCAGTAAATTAAGTTTGGGAGGCTCAGAGCATCAGAAACCATGATCCTGGAAGGGCAGTTGCCCTGGGCTGACCCTAGTTTTCCACCTTCCTCTCCATTCTGATTGTCCCCACAAAGGCGAAAGCACCACCCAGGGGCTTTTGGGCCTTGTGAAAAAGGAGCCTGGAGAAGGGCCTGTGGGTTCCCTGTGAGCAGGAGTTATGGACTTGGTCACTTTGATTTAATGCTTTTCTTCAGTGTAATCCACCTTCCCTCATGAATGACTAATAAGCAAGTCAAAGTGTTGTGGTCAGTAAGGTATTTCTACCCCCAATGTATTGACCTGGTGAAGATATTTGCTTGCCAAGCAGTTTTCCATCTTTCAGGTAAGTGAACTTTGCAATTAGCTCCCCGAGCATGGTGTTTGCTTGAAAGTAATGCCATTAAGGATGCTCTCTTTGCCTCCAGCTGCTGCACTTCAAATTTGATGGCGTTGCTGTCTTGTTAGAAATCTGAACAGAATGAAGGGCATACAGAGAGGACAGAAGGCACACAGTATTAGCAGTTATTGTTTGATGAATACAAAGTGATAGCATCAACTATAAAAGCTAGAGAAGTCCTGCTTACAGTTCTTTAATAACTTGGAATTAAATTTTACACAATGAGCATCTGTTATCAGTCAATTTTCCGCCACACTCATACAGCAAAAGCTTCAGCCAAGATAGTTTGCCTGTTTTCTAGGGCCAAGGCTGAACAAAAAAATGTGTCTCCATTTCTCCCCCTGCCTGATGAAATATACCAAGATCCTATTCTGGCAGCTCCAGCAACCTCTGATTTCAAGCAAGTATTTTGGATTCGCCTACAGACAGCTTCTGTGGCAGAAATATGGCTTTTATTCCTATGAAAATCCACAGAAACTTTGCCAATACACATAATTACCCTTCTCTGGTTCCCACAGACCAAGGCTAAAGGCCCTGCCTGCAGTTTTCCCCAAGTAACTGGGACAGGGCAGCCCTTCCTAGGTCATGATACTTGGGGCACCCAAGTCTGGGCACCCAGGGGGACCAGACCCCAACCCTCCCATGGCTGCTGGGTTGAATCCATAGAGATATTCCACTGGGCAGCAGGAAATCCCCTAGAGCCTCACAAGCAGTCTTTTCCCAGCATCTCAGCCTTTCCTATGGGATTTATGGCAAGTAACTAGGAATAGCTTTCTTGGAAAACATCATATTTTTAAATGGTAACATCTGAAACTCTTCTGTGTGCTGACAGATCCTCGCATCTTTCACACTCAGGATGGTAGAAGCCAGCTGAGCAGCTTGCTGCTGAATTGGAGTTGAGTGCTGCAAAATCCATTCAGCAGACCCAACACAGCTGCTGCAGGGAGAATGGGACCTCGACTTGGGCACCCAAGGCATGACTTTGATGAAGCAGAGCTGTGAGATTCTGCTATAGAGAAGAATACCAATAACTAAAAGGGAAAACCAAAATAAACCTTATTTAGAAAATTACTCCAATGTGGATTTGTTCTGTGCTGAGATTACCAGCCACTTGTTCTCTGTAATTCCAGCAGCTGCAGGAGAGTCCCTGGCAGGGACAGGGACTGGCAGATCTGGTTTAATCAGCACATCCCACCTCACCCTGGGGATGAGTGCCTCTTTCAGACACCATATCTCAATTGCACCCTGTCATGTCCTTAAGCCCTTACTTTTTTCCTATTGCCATAGGAAAGGGGATAAGCAGAGGCTGGAGTGAAGGTCTGTAACAATGGAAGAGGATGTTTTTTCTCAAACCCTTTTAGAAACAGGTTTTACTGAATATTTGCAAACAACCATGCACTGCTAGCAATTGAAAAAAATTGCAAAAAAATGAACAAATTGTCCTAGGTCACCTGTCTAAACATGTACAAAGTGCGCAGTGGGTATGTCAGGGAGGAGACTGCCAGCAGACAGCCTTGAGGACCCACTGGGATCCATCATCTCTTCCCTTCATACGCTTGGGTCAGGGCAGGATTTATTTCCATGGCCTGAGGACTGCAACTGCTTCATTTTAAGCCCAGCTTAGACTCATTAAATCCACACCGATGCCTTTAACAGGTCTTTTTTTCCACTTCAGAGCTCCCCAGGATGATAACTGGATTAATTGGTGTTTACACAGAGCTTTGTGATGGAAAGTCTTGGTAAAATGTGTGCTGTAGATTTAGCACTTTTTGGACTACAGATTCAAAAAAATGCAGTCTGAACTTACTTAGGGGTCCTCATTCAGTAGGATAGTTCCAAGCATGTTTAAAGATAACAATTTGAGTTGAGAACTCCACTAGATTCAAGCCTAACTTTATTAATTTCTTACACAAAATGAGCAGTTTTCTACGCTGTAATGTATGCCAAATGTCAACAATGTTTTATTTAAAGGTGTAAGCAAATTACACTTTTGTCAGACATCCATAAATCCTTCTGAAAAGGTGTCTGACTTATTGTGCATAAATAATTTGCACAATGTATATTGAGAGATTTTAAGTGTTTGGAGACAGATGCCTCTTCTACATCCCTGAAGAAAAATGGAGAATAAAAGTGTCTTTAACTGTTCAGAACAGATGGCAGGGCAATAAAAGTGCTGAACAGCTATAAAGCAAGCAAAAGAAAATAACATCCGTCAGACAGGAGTCAATGGCAGTGAGATGCACAAATACAGGTATTAGAGAAAAGTTACTTAAGAGTAAAGAATGACACTTTTTATCCCACACATCACATTCTGTCAGCCTCTGTCTTTTTGTTTCTCCTGATGCCAGTCTCTAATCGAGCAATGAACAAAAAATACAGTTAATTGATTTACTGGAAACAGATCTAGCCATATCCTGCATTTATCCCCCATGGGCAGCAGAGGCTGTATGCTGCAGGTATTACCTATTTCTTCACCCACCAATGCTGAAAACAGTGAACACTTTTTGCTGTAAATTCAAAATACCCTATCATATACTCTGAGAAACTTGGTTTCCCACTCTTTGTCTTCTGCACTGACTTGCCCTGTTACCATTTCTATGCAGATCTGGAAGGAGCCAGGATTCCCTGCCTGTGTAGCCAATGGCACATTCATCACCTGATGTACTCATGTGTGTGTTAATTAACAATTTCAGTTAATTAACAGTATCTCTGCTCCTACCTGAACTACTGTGGCCTATGACAACTCATTTGCAGGCTTTTGTAAATAATATTCTTAATAGTTAACATTCTTAATCATTACATTATTATTTTCATAGTTGTTACCTCTAGCACTCCAGAGCTTCATGAGGAGGTGTAAAACATAGCACTTTCAGGATCTCTTATTATCTGCTATCCTCAGACTTTGAAAGTGTCAGTAGAATTCTTAGATCCAGCCTCATCTATTCCAAAATTCATGTGTCTCTGTAGGTCTTTCTGTCTTATCTGGGGCTTTGGTGTCTCTTCAAGTTCCTTGTGATCTGCATAAGAACCCTTCTTGTTGTCAGCTGTTTCACTGAAACCCCTGAAAAAAAAGATTCTCCATGAGTAATAAATGTTATGTTTCAAAGGATATTTTTAGATTTTGCAAGCCCAGAATTTAAGACTTTGAGAAAAATTACGCTTTTAAGAAATTGAGTTTTATCAACCTGAAAAAGGGTAGATTTTGACTAGATATTAGGAAGAAATTCTTCACTGTGAGGGTGGTGAGACACTGGAACAGGTTGCCAAGAAAAGTTGTGGCTGCCCTATTCCTGGAAGTGTTCAAGACCTGGACGTCCCTGCCCATGGCAAGAGGGTTGGAACACGATCTTTAAGATCCCTTCCAACCCAAACCATTCCATGGTTCTATGACTCCAGAAACAGAAGATTTATGCACATGTCTTCAAACAAATAAAAATAAATAAATAAATAAATAAATAAATAAATAAATAAGAGTAGCATTGCAAGTCTAATAGCAATGCATGTAAAAGTCTATAAACAAAAAGGAAAGCTAATTTTTCCAATTTTAATCAAATTCTGGGAGTAGACAAGAAAATAAAGTAGGAAAAGTAGATTAGCTACCTTAAGCCTTTTTTTTTTTTTTTTTATATAAGACTCCTGGTAGACAAGAAGAGACTTATTTATAACTAAAAGTATAATTTAATTGTTTAATCATTATTGCTTTGGTTCCACTAAGAGTGTGTAATCACATGTGTTAGCTATGGAAGATGGTGTCTTTGAGGCTGCACAGAGCAATAAAAATTGTATAGCAATTCCTAAAGCAGTAGAGTTAGGCTTCTTCTTTCTTATAGGTACAGAAAATGTTTGTTTCTACTCTACAAACTGAAAAATCTTTTCCCTTTGGTGGTTTCTTTAGAATTTATGACATGCAGAAGGTTTGAAGTGTATTGACAGCAGGAAGGTTAGCATCAGCTGACTCTACACATCAATGTCTACTGCCTCAGATCTGCCGATGCTCTATTTCTGGGGGGATTCATCACTACATAAAAATCAGACCTGTGAATTATGTCTGCTTTGAAACTGTTTTGTGGTTATCTGATGCTCCACACTACATCGCAGTGTTGCAATGACAGGCATTTTATCCTGAATAAAAACAGATGAAAGTTCACTGGAAATGCAGTTACTTTGGGTTTTTCGTTGGGTTTCTCTTCTGAACAAGAGCAATATATTTTCCCTATTCATAACCTAACTTGTTCAGTACTCTTTACAAAAAGCAGGTATAGGATTTCATAGTGCTTTTGTCTACAGCATGCATCACTTTTTACATAGCTACAGTTGCATATTAAAAAATGGAAAAACCGCTTCCAATCAAGTCTGCCAAGTTCACAAACTTTTCCTGATGACCAGAAGACTTGGCTGGATCCAAGTATTTTTCTTTCCATGTTGTATGTCAACAAACTATGACTCATACTGAATTCACATAGCCCCTAAGAGGATAATATTAATTCTGGCTAAAGTCAAAGAATTCAAAGGTTTTATGTGTGAACAGGAAATAGATTCAGCACAAATCTTCTGTTATAACTGAGATTAACATAGTGATAAGGGGCCCACAGCAGGTAAAGGCATGAACTGTTGAGCTGGATATGCCTAACAGTTCCTGAGAACTGAAGAAATGTCTTTCAGAACCCCTGGGTAGTACCTTAGCATCAGTAAGTCAGTGGCAGAACTCCTACTGACTTAATGAACTACCTCTAACTGGGTGGATCTTCTTAGGTATTTAACCACAGACTTGCCTGGAATTCATCCTGGCAGGTCAGCCTGCAGGCACTGATCTTGAATAACACAGGAAAATGAATTTGAAATAGCTACAGTGTCTATGCAGTACATGTTATCTACTGCAAACATAGTGATTAAAATATGTTGCATTGCACAATAACCATCAAGAACATACCCATGAAACTGAGAGTGAATAACTTTTAATCCTTCCCCATTGTGCCACCATTAAAGCAGAAGTAGCCTATTAGTTCAAAACATGTACCTTTTTCTAGCATAGATGCAGAATGTTTTAGCATATCATGGCAAAATTCAAGAGGAAGTGCACACTTGTTTACGTGATCGTATACTGAATATAAAACTGTGAAATATTTCTTAATGCAGTTCTTAGTCAGTAAGGAGAAAATGTTAAGACTATTAAATGAAATCACAGTAACTGTTCACACTTGCAGAGTCCTCTGCAATGTATTTCCTGAAATGTACACATCCATTTTTTCAACTAGTAAATACCTTATTAAAGCTAAAGTATTTTCAGCAACACAGTCCTGGTTTTCACCCACAACTTCTACTGTTATTGTTTCCCACAATGAAGCCACACTGGCAGTAGTCACTTGCCCTTATCTGTGATGCTTTGTATGTCTGCACAGCTGAGGGAAGAGGGCTCCAGCATTCTTAGTCTCCTGCTCCTGTCCATACTGCCCCAGGCATGAAGAGCCTTGCTGGCCACTGACCTGGGAACACAGCTCCACACTCCTCTTTTCACAAAGAAGAGCAAAGAAAAAAGATCAAATTCAAAATCCTCTTGTCCTTTGAGCCTTTAGATGGGCATTGTGTACATACATATTGAAGGTTATGTATTATGGCAGCCTTATAAAAAAAAGATATTTTAGTGAGGGTTCATTAAAGGGGTTCACCGATACGCAGAATTTTACCTCATCTCCTGCCTGGCAGTCATAATAAATGAAATCTCTACACTACCAATTACTAACAGGCCTCTGATTACTTTTAAATGATAAGGTTCAATGTTTTATTTACAATTGTGGCTGATGTGTTATGCCTATTTTCCGAAGCAGTAGCTGGGAATGCCCTACCCCTTTATGATTAAATGCTTGCAAAAATTGCTTCGCTTTGCTACTAGAAATGGGAGTGGAGTGTTTGGCAAATCTAAATTGGCATTCCACTGAAACACATTTGTGCAGAAAGTTGCAGCAAGTGAGTACTGAAACCATCCAGCCCCACTTCTGTACACCCAAATGGGGTTAAAAAGAACACAAGTCACATATATGTTGAAGACATGTATCTCCAGGAGTACTGTGGCAGTATGTAAAAAAAAAAAAAAGGATGTGTCTTCACTGTAGAACACAGTACTGAGGAGATATCTGCAATAGCTGAGACTGAAGCTGCATGTTAGCATCATGTCATGCCTATCTTGATTTATAGTGTGGCTCAGGCCAGCTATCATGCCCTCTCAGCCCACAAACACTTTGTTCTGTATAGACAGAAGCTCAGCTAAAATCAAAATGTACTTCAGTTCAAGAAGCACCCACATGAGCTGTGCTCAATAGCTTTCCCTCTAGCTTTGCCAAAAGCCCATGCAGACCATATGTGAGGTCTGTCACTTCTGCATGGGACAGGGAGGATACCCAGCTATATTTTCTGAACTCACAGGCCACATGACCTGCATCACGGTGACAATCTATCTCTGTTTCATTGATGGCTTTTGCTGGACTCTGCTGTTCATGCTGCCTTAGACCTTAATGATGCCCATTTGCATCATTACAGGTAAAGTGCCCACAGGACACCAGAATGCCAGTGCTACCAAACTGTGTCAGAACAATACGTGCAAGACTACCCAACACATCTTCACACTCACCAAGATGGGTAGACCCACAGCAAAATCTGGAAATGCATGGGTCCTACCCAGGTGCATGTTTAGTTACCATTCCTAGCTTGATGTCCCAGAAAGATAGCAGTGATGTCCTTGCCCTGCCGTTCTCTAACACTTCCCCTCTGGTTTGTAGGCACCAGCCATGGCAGTCACCCAGCCTCTTCTCAGCACCTGTATTTAGCCTATCAGTATTTAACTTCATAGGTTACCAACAATTTAAACTCCACAGACCTTTTGCTATGCTTGAACGATGGGGTGCTTTCTGTAGAAAGCTAGTGTGCGCACACCCACTATTTCAGCTTCAACTGTATCTCAAAACTGCAATCTGTGTTTCTGAACCTGGGAAGTCATGGAAGAGGCAGACTACTCTTAGGAAAGTAATCTGAAGCTAATAGATCCCACAGCCAGCACTGCCAAGATCCAAACAAATGTTAAGTGGGAACAAATGAAACGGAAACTAAGTTGAAAATATGTTGCAACTAAAATATCTGCAGCATGTTTATGCACAACAGCTAGGGACTTTCCAGAAGTAGAAACCCTTTCCCTGAGGGAACTAATAAACCAAGGCAGATAAAGGTTAGGGAAACCTTATGCCCGAGATACAGTGGAAGGTCACCAGAAGTTATATAATTAGAATTTAAAGAAAAATTAATTCTCATGAGCAGTGGGAAAGTTTTTAAACAACCGTGGGATACAGGCGAAGTATCTTTCACCTGAAGTTACGCTTACAAAATCCTGCATCGCATACCACAACTTTGAATAAATGGCTGAATAGTAATTTTACATGAAAAAAGAAGATGCCATTTGGGATCATAGGATAATTCTGTCTGGGTGGGAGCTCAGGGCACCTCAGTTGAACCTCCTGCTCGCAGCAGGGCCAGCTCTGAGCTCAGACCGGGTTGCTCAGGGATTTGTGCACTTCAGCTTCTTAGCACAGTGGATTTTTTTCCCCTTCAAAGTAAGGGAAAGGGAAAAACATGAGAAGAAGCTTCTCTTCTATGTAGTTCACCAAGAAACTACCTAGACCAGGATCTTGTCCCCAGCAGTGCTCCACGCTTGGGCATCAAAAGCTGCCCTCATTCATATCCTTGAGCACAGCCCCAAGACAGCTTAATCTGGTGCCCCAGAGCTGTACTGAATGCTCAGCCCCTATCTTACCTAGTCATACCAACCTCGATTTTATACCGCTAAGGAGCTACAACACTAGAATTTCTTTCTTTCCTTTCCTGTATTATCCCATTCCTTCTTTTGTTTAACTAAAAAAGGTACAGTAATGAGCCCATACACCAGTGGTACATGGTGTCTTAGCTTTTAGGCTTCAAATATGACAGAAAAGATATATTCAAACATGACTGAATTAAAAGAAGCCAAATCATTGCCTTAGAGAAAATAACACATGTCTAGCAAAACACAAGTTCTTG